CAATAAATCATATGGCTGCATTTGTTTGAGAAGACCTGGTAAATATTGTAAATACACACGAGCATGAAAACAGAGTAATTATTTTATGTGGGAACAATATCTTCAAATTTCAGTGGATGCAGTGAAAAAAAAAACCTTTTTGCTCTTCCTGTTGCAGAAATGAAATGTTATTGACCTTTATGTGTTCTTTAACATTTTTAATTAAAATGTAAAATCTATTATGTATTTCATTAAATTTTGATCCTAAAAGTAAGGATTTTCTTCAAGATACAACAAACACAACTCTGGACAACAATTTTATCAGTCTTAATTATATAAGAAACTCCTTCAGAAGTTCTCTTCTCATTGTAGAATTACAGTCTAAGAAAAATCTCAAAATACTAAGGTATTTCCTGTATGATTTATGAATATCTATACAGATGGTCTTCCTACATTGAAGTTTGTAAATTTTTAATTGTCTTTCAGGAGACATAACACTTCTAATAGACTTTCCTTAAAACTCAAGGTAATGAATAAGATCACAGTCCTCAAAAAATCCTCCAAAGCGTATTATCTTTTCATCAACAAAATATATTCCTCTACATTTAAGAGAAACTTGCAAAAGATAGTGAATACACTTTCTTGAGAGTGAATACATAATTCACTGTGAGATAAGATGCTAAATTTACAGTGAATGCTGTTTATGTTGATACATCATTTTCACTGAAGCTATAAAAACCCCTGCACTAATGACACCCTCCTACAGTCAGTGCTTGCAAGGGTTGTAGTCTAAGAACTGGATTTTTCTAAGGATCTGATGATGAATGCAAATTTTTTATATCACTGACATGTCTCCTGCAGGACGTTTCTAAAGTCCAAGAAAGATACTACAAAAATAATATTGTTATTTGCATTTTATAAAAATTACAAAAACTAGTTTCCAACACAGGCCAAAGATGACTGAATTCAGATTCCAAGAAAGGATTATATATGTTATATGATGTCTCGTGTTATCTATATACACTTGGAGTGATTTACTTAATGTAACATATAGGGGGTTATAAATTATGCAAAAATTTAAACCGCAATTATATAAATATCTATAGTTGTGACTATTCAGATCATAGTGTTTTGGTGTGTGCTTAATGTATTACAAGTAATGCTCAAAACTTTCTATGGGATATTTTTGAATGTATATAGCTATAAATTGAGTAACAGAGTAAAACACTGATCTTTCCAAAACAGGGCAAAAGCCAGATTCGAATTCTTAAAGAAAGCCATTTTTAATCTCAGTTAGAAAAGCATCTAAAAATCTAAAAATAGCTGAGGTACTTTTCCTCTGCAAAAAGGACTCAGATAACTCTAAATAACAATACTGATTTTCTCAAAAGTTTTCATGTTATTTCTGTAACATCAGAAATTTCAAAGGATTATTTCCAAAGATTTAAAGAAATTAAGAAGGGGTGTAGGGTGAATATATATAATCTACTTTTGCTCCTACTGAGATTCTCAAATGAGATTGTCTCTCCTTCTAACCCTAAATACACAATGTAGCGATTAGTCACACTGTAATCATTAAGGGTAGAAAAGGGGGCAATACTGTACCCATAATACAGATAAGGGGAGGAACCAGTGGTCCACCCCATCCGAGCTGAAGAAAGGTTATCCTATATGAAATAGAAATATATAGCCTGTTACTAGTTGTGAACCTGTAATGACAGACACTTGATGTTATGTTTTATAACTCAATCGTATGAGAAATGTTTCTTTCCTACTAATGAAGTTTGCGGTATTCTTGAAAATGCCTCATTATCGTTTTCCTGGTAAGGGAATCTAAGGAACAGCCATGGAATTTTAGAGGATATTTAAGACATCAAGTACTCTAATTTAGTTTTACAAGTTATGAAATTGGACTGGAAATTTGAAATACAGTAAATGTTTAAAGCCATCAGCCAGAAATATGCATAAGGCATGCAAAACTGAAAGTGCAAGTGGATTTCAGATTGTTTGCTGCCTTCTACTATTTCTCTAATAAATAAATCAAGCACGGCATGACATGCTTTATTTTGTGAAATTAGACACAAATGCATGCTTTATTGTCACTTAATTCTCTAACTCAGCAAAGCAATGTATACTCAGTATTCTACATTTACAAGTAGCATACCAATTCAGAATTAGCGCAAAAGCATTATATTGCAAGTACTAAAAAGCTAAACAAAAAGCAATGGGTATATTCAAATCTCAGTTTGCAGATACTTCTGCTCAGTACGTACACTAATTGAGATGAGAATATAAACCCTAAGACAGAAATTTAAATTAAATTAAAGCAATTCTTTACTTTGCCTTCCAGCATCTGGGTGGAGTTGGTTTTGAGATTCACTATAGAAAGTATTAAAATTTCTCAGAATTCAGTATACTAGCAGATATTTTAAATGCCTTTAATATGGCAAAATTCACTTCTGTGCTCAAGGCAAACACAGGTTATGGACCACTTGTACCCTATTTTGGTGCAAGTGATTCATATATCTTATATTCACTTTGGAAAGAGAATTTATCCCATTTATGAAACAGCATAATTACAAAATTAAGTTGTAACTGCAGAGTATAACTGTAGACTTGTAAAAATGTAACTTAAAAAGTGAAGTATGTTTCATATTTAGGGATAACAGAATAGTTATTAATATTTACTATGTAAAATGCTGTATTCTTCCAAGTCACCAGAATGGTAAACTTATTTAAGAACAAGATTGATTTAAAGTAGCTGAGAACTTAGCAGATTGTTTTACAAAATGATGCAGAGCTTTTTACATACAAGGACTTTTGTGGAATACGTATGATCTCTTATATTTTCAAGGCAAAATTTTCACGGTTTTGAACATAGGGGTAAACATTCAAATTATAAATACATGCTGAATAAAAACTCAGCTTGCTTTGTCACAGCTCAGTGTAGGTATAGGCAATATAAGAAAGCAAAGAGGGTTGATGTATTTTTACTTTCTGTTGGCAGATAAAAGAATCTGTTTTAAGGATTTTTATGAAATGAACTCAGTTTCTGAGAAGACTGTAATTTGACTATAGTCTTATCATGAGCTGGTCAATTATTTGTTATTTGAATCTTTTTACTGTTCGTGAGTCATTCATAAAGTAATGCTACTATCTGTCAATGAGCTGTTGTGAATACTTGCCAAGTGCTTTGGAAAAACCGTTTTCAGAAATACATGTAACTAATAGTAAAGATAAGACCTATACAGTTGGCCAGTCAAATTGGCGAAGTGTCTGGAATCAGGTACTTCATTGATTATCATTAATATTGGAGTACAGAGCTGAAGCCTTTTTTGCTTTTCCAGGCTTGTCTATGATTCTTGCACAGTAAGTTGCTTGTGAATTATTCCTGTTGTGTATCTGAAATACTACCATATGATTGGCCTTCTGGCTTAGTTTCATAGTTATTCAGTGAGAAATAAGGGAAAGCAGTAAACAGATTTCAAATAGCAGGCACTTTGAGCATGAATATCCTAAATCTTCTAAGTGGAAAATTTACTAAGGCAATCATGTAAGGATACAGAAAAATGGAATAAAACATTTGGCAATAAATTTTGACATTTTCTTTCTAGAAATGATCTGTTTTTTCCAACATCATCTAAAAAGCTGCATTTCTTGTCCCTGTGTAACTTCTATACTGGTCTCCCAGTCCTCCTGCAGCTGACCAGAACATTATTAAAAAAGTAAAGCTGACAGCAATTTCCCGACATTTCTCTACACAAAACCACATTTATCTGAATGTTCATGAACAGTAAGTACAAAGAAAGACAAAGAGAAAATGGCTAAATCAAATAGTCATTCCAAACTTAAATGAAAATTCGTACATTCTGTAGTACTTGACCAGCTCTTACCCTGCTGAATATCAATTCATGAATTTCAAATGATGAGAAAACTGTTAGAAGTCAATTTGCTATATGAAACTGAAATTTATTAATCTAGCAATCATTGGTTAACAATATTTTTTCCTGATGCATTCTGAAGTAGAGATATGTAGCCTGATGAATACAATTTAAGGAACTTAATTCTAAGCCTCAGTTCGACTTGATTAAGCTTAGATTTGTATCTAAAGGTTGTTCAGACAGTATATTCCAGGCTATTCCATTTGTTTATAATTGACTTGAAATTCATTAGTGCATTGTTTCCTCTTATGTTTCCATGAAGTAGCAAAAAGCATTCTCTTAAAAGATATTTCAATGACATGCATATAGAGTTAGTTTGTATTCAGTGGCTTTAAGGAACAGAAGGTATAAACAAATGAAAAAATAAGTTAAAATGCTTTCTTGAGTGAGATGAATAGTAAGCAGGGTCTCTAAGTTACTCAGAATAAGTAAGAAATAACCTTATATACATTGTATTGAATATTGAATAGAGATTTGTTGGAATAAGAAAAGCGTTTACCTTACAAAGAGAATAATTTCATAGAGAAATCAAATAACTTGATTTGTTTTTAAAGTCAGCCAAACTCAGAAATAGATTTAGACCACTAGCAGGTATGAATGTATCTCTAGTACCATCTGGTAAAGTTCAGTGGGATTAGACCAAAGGTGGTTTATCAAATATGAAGAAAAATGAAGGATTTCTACTGGTAACAGAAAATATCTTTATTAACTAATGCTAAATTAGATTCCTGTATAAATATGGTGATATGTTTACCAGTAAAAAATTAATAAAAACTTGTTACATTTTATTCATTATGAAGTGTCTGTTAAGAGAGTTCATAGTTGGTAATTTCAAAGCCTTATATGGAAAACTCCTGAGATTGGCTAGAAAGTAAAGTAACCTTAATGAATGTAACTTCTATGTGATATTGCATATGGATTTAGGTGAATTGATGAAGCTTTTTGCTTATCTGTTAGTAAAAGATATGCAATAGATAAAAAGATAGTGCAGCCTGTCTGCATGGACTTGTCATTCCTTATTCTACATGCATGGATTCTTTCTATGCATGCATAGTTTCAGATTCTTTCATGTTGTCTTACCCTCATGCCTTCAAATCGTGACAAAGCTCTTAGAGGTCTCAAAGCTCTTAGTGTCCTAAGGGACTTAATGGCACCAAGTTCAGAGTAACCCAATGCATTTGCTGTTAAGCTAACCAAAGAGACCTATATGAAAACAGGAAAGTAAAAATTATTATATTGTACTTTACATACCATAGATGTGAAATATAAACTTCTTTAGAAGAATCTAATTTTGGACCACTTTGTTCAGGAATAGGAAGTCTTTTAAATAAAAAAAAAAAAAGAGGTAATATGAAAGAAGAGTAGGATAGGGGAATAAACAAACAAAAATATCATAAGGTAACAATATCTGGAAACATTAATACTTCTGAATTTCATATCTTGCTAGTGATTTGAGGGCATTTAAAACCACAAAAAGCATATTAAATTAATCTCTCCTTTTTACCAATTTAGGTATTGCTCTCATTTTTCCTTTGTTCTACAATGCTGTTGGGATCAGTAATTATAGCTGATAATGCCCGTGTGATTGCCCGCAACTGAAAGGGAAATGATTGAAGCCTGTTTTGAATTAACAGATGGGTCACAGAGCAACATTGCTCCTCTGGAAATTGGTAGAAAGGATTATTTTTTCTGTATTCAGTTACACTGACTGATCCTTTTGCCTGACTGCTGAATTTATGTGCTGTACAGACTGACAATAACCTGGATTATGCTGTTTCTTAAAGACCTTATAAGAACAGTTCCATAGGCAGCAGGGGTAATAAAATCTTATATTCACAGGCCTGTATTCTATGTCTCTACATCTCTACCTCAGTGAGAAATACCATATTGTCTACATTTACTATGGCTCCTGTCCAAAATAATACCTTCTGTTTTCTTCCCATTTCCCCTAAATGCTCCTTCATTACCCTGTTCTAATTCCTTACCTATTTATTGGGCCAAAAAATAGCACAATGATCTCATTATAAAGAACAATGCATCAGGTAAAGAGAACTCTAGGACAGTGCTCTTTATGAACCGTATTTAAAAACAAGCATTATATGTGAAATCTTTAGCTTTTAAAAGTTAATAGCTTTTCTGTACATGTCAATCCTGAGCTCTAGCAACCCACAAAACTAGGTCCTTCTGAAACCTCAATTTCTTTCTCCAGCACATTCATCATACTACTGAAAACTTTCAAGCTTTCAAGCTGCCATAATCTAAAGACAAATTAAAGAAAATATCCAGGTGTGTAAATCCAGGATTTAATCATGAGCTTATTCAGACACATTCACAGGATGGCTGTTTGGGATATTATGATTTAAATAAGGTCAAATATTAGTGAAAATGAGTTTAGAAAAGGAACTGCTTGCATGCTTCTTTAAGCTTTTTTGCTCTAGGTGCCACTTAGGTAACCATTTTGAGAAGAATTTAGATACTAAAGAACGAAAGTGTTTTCCAAAGAGAGGGTACTTTCTTTGTATGAGTACTATGTTTGAACGTGGTTATCTGTAGCTGTATATGTGAAGTTGAATCCTAGATATATTTAATCCATAATGTACACCAATCAAAAAGGTTGTAGGCACCAGTCACAAAACAAAGCTCAAGAAAATGAACTGCTTTGATTAGCCCTTGTACGCTGGGAATACATTCAGAAACTGTTGGATTTTTAGCAACTCTTTGGGTCAATAACTGCTTATGAATTTCACCTTTTACCTTTTCAGTGTCTGTTTCTAAGTCATTGAAACCAAGACAAAATGCAACTTAATTTCAAAGTTGAGCTTGTTTAATATTTGGTTTTTGTATAAGTTTTACCAGAAATTTCTATCTTAAAAATGTAGTGACTGATTGTGGTTTTGTAACTACGTAAAACATACTATTTTAGTTTCACACACAGAACTTCATAGGCAGCAGAAACAGTTTGTGTTTCTGCACATTGGAGGTTTTCTCAAGGGTGCATACTTGGGACATTACTTTTTTTTAAATGCTCCATAATTGCATTAATACATCAAGAAATGGTCTCCCCCATTTCACAGCACAGCACAGTAGAGTTATAACTGCTAGATAATACTTGCAGGGAAGATTATTGAGCCTGATTTCAAACACAGCTGTGAAGATTGCAAGTTCTGTAATATTCATTGGACTTTTAATACTAAGTCAGTCGCACCACCAATGCTACAGATATATCTTGCATTCCTTGTAAAACCCTAATTCAGCCATATGCTGAAATCTGTGGACATGATGTTTGTTTTCTTGCCAGAGGAGTTTTAATCCAGATAAGTGTCTGATGTCTGGTGGACCAGACACCCATCTAAATGCTAGATGCGACTTAGACCAGAGCAGGGAGGAAGGCAGGTCTGAAGATGGGAATGAGCTGCCAGGGGCAGAACGGAGGACAGCACTACCTCTTTCAGCAACAGTGCTGGGATAAACCCTGTAACTGCTTGTAGGGCTACCATGTGAGGTACTTTTGTTAGCTGGAGAACTTTCAGTCTTTCTTTAACTCTGTGGTATAGGAAGGCAGTGTTGTAAGCGTAAAGGGAAAGACAGAGAAAAATGAAATTTTTTCCATCTGCCTTTTTAAATTGAAAAGTAAAATAGAGCAAGTAATTTTAAAAAATCAGATAAATATAAAAGTAGCACTTAGGAAATATACTACATACATCGACAATCAGGAAGTCCAGCCAGCACCAGGCATTAGTAAAGTATGTTTGATAGCCATAGGCCACCCACTTCAGCAGCATTTCCAGAATGAAGATGTAAGTGAAGACCTTGTCAGCATATTCCAGCATGGTCTTGATAGTTTTGCGCTGTTCAATATAAATGTCTTCAAAAGCCTATGGGTAAACACATTTAAAGATATTTGTTGCTCCTTTTTGTTACTGCACATAATTCATGTTGTAACAAAAAAAAAAAGGCAACAAAAAAAGGAAGTAATCTTTTTTCAAGAAAAGGCATGGGAGTGTCACTTCTATCTTATGTCTCTTTTCTGCTAACTCAGTATATACCTGTTTTTCTCCTATGGAACTGTATTTTCCAGCTTACAGGAGGGAGAAGCAGATATTACATAGCAACCAGTTCATTGGTCAGAGGTTTTTATTTATTTATTTATTACTGATGGTGAATTATTCTTCTCAGATAATTTTTGGTACTCACAAAGAGCACTGATTCTGCAGAGTGGTGTGCCTGAACTGAATTCTACTGAGATCATTTGGTTTGTATGTAGGTAGATCCATTTTCAAAATCCAGGGCTGTAAAGTTTTCAGGACAATGACAATACAATTGATCTTATGTTTTTAAGTCCTGTTGCTTTTTGAAAATTTTAAGTAATAAAACATAAAACAAGTTCTTCCCTTCTTAAAAAAAAATTATTTATCTAAATTAAGTACCTGCTTTACTGTATTATTCGCATTTTATGAGATGCATAAAATTTCTGAGATCCTTGTAATGCTATTTGCACTTCTTGTGTGTTTTCATTTTTAGACATTTGAAAAAACATACAGCTTCTGCTTTTCAGAAATTCTGCCTGTCCTCCAAGAAATTTTCCCTTTAATTGCTTGTAAATTTTAATTATACTATTATTTCTTATGGAGAAAAATTGATTTTATTGGATTGAAAGAACAGGAATGATCTGCTAGCTTGCAAAGATTTGGATATTTATTGATATTAACAATCATTTTTACCCAGCCTGATTTTGAATCACTTTACATCTGTCAGTTCAAATGATTAGTGTTTGTCTATCAATCATGGAATTAACATCTGTGTATCAGTAATTTTGGATACTTAGATCAGGCACTATGGTACCTGACACTTGTATGTAATCACTAACAACTTCCTCTCACAAAACTGGGAAGAGCCAACACATATCATTTCCTTCTTATAGGTGGGAGTATGCCAGAGGCTAAGCTAGCAGTGCTCTTGGCAGCTAGAAGTGTCTGCTCCCTGCCTGAATGCCCCTGGGGCGGGGGTTTGCAGGCAGCCTGCGGTGTGCCTGTGCCTGCCAGATTTCCTGGCTGTAACGACAGTGAGACTCGCCTGGAGTGTGGCCTTGGGGTGAACATTGGGGTACAGTACTGGCAGGTCCAAAGAGACCTTTTCACTATCACAAAGGAAGTTGAAGGCAGAGCAGGATCTCACATCTCCAGAGGCTTGGGCTAATCCCTGGTCTCTGAAGCATTTTCACAAAATAAATGTTCTGTGGATGACACACACCTTAGGTTCACAAGTGTGAGATGCTAACACTGTGGGATCTCACCTCAAACTTCCTCTAAATACAATGATGGAAGCTCTCCTTTATCAGATCTCTTGCCAGTACTTTTCTCTCATTTAAATTCTTGTCACTAGAAGTTTTCTCCACTTGGTAGCATGAACCAAAAGTCAATAGTGTAGACGTGAGTCTTTTGTTATTTCAAGGGTTTCAAATCACAGGGAAGGTGTCACATGGTGTTGAGTAAAAGTTGCTTATTTGATGGTTGTGTTGATATTAGACCAAACAAAAGCAAAATGATTCTTAAAGAGTTAACCAAAACTAATGATAGGCATAATCATAAACTGCTAACAATTAACAGTATTTTAAAGTGTTGGAAGTGGTCTAAAGAGTTTATAATACAGTTTTGCAACACAATTTTGTTTTATGATGTAGAAACTTAAGTAATTTACCAAAGGGTAATTGCATCTACCAGGGTAGATGCTAGATATACTCTACGTTATCTCAGAGCAAGTAGTTTGCCTAAGAAACTTCAGCTCAGTATGTATCCAGGCTCACCTTTATTTAACAGTTCATCTCCAATTTCTTTATTCTTTGTCATTATTTGTATTTGTGAAATAACATATTATTGGCAGGATTTGTTTATTTTATTTTTATATATTTATATTATGGTTGGCTTCTTTTTATTCTGCTCTCACATACGTGTTAACCTTAAAGCAAATTCATGTTTTTACAGATACCCCTTTAGTCTACATGAGTATGAGTCAGTAGAAGCTGAATTAGAAGCATAAATGATAAATTCTTATTTTTAGAAGGGAATAATTACAAACACACAGTCTTAATCTTTCTTGCTGTTCTAGCACATAACGTTTATAAGACTGTATAAGCCAGCTCTGGCTCTTGCAAGGTATTGTGAGCTGTTTATGCCATTACAGTTACTTACACACACTTTTTTCATCAGTGACAGTTCTTTTCCCTGAGTTATATCAGTAAACACCAGTAAAACTAGAAAGCAAATTCAAATAACAAGTTAAATATGTTCTCTTCTTCACATGTTGTCCCTCTCCCTGCTTCAGGCATATCACTATCACTTTCAGCAAAGGAGTTAAGCTCTCTCTAATCAATTGTTCTTTTTTTGACATATTGTTGAGAAGAGACTTTTTCTACCATTCTTTCAAAGGCCTGACTAAAATTTAGTCCTGTCATTTGAATTGTGTGTTCTTTCTGGTGGAGAAAACTAAGTTAAAACAATGTTTGAAGAGCCAACCTTTAAGGTGTTTTCTGACAACATTGTGACACGCTGTTCATGTTTTACTTACCAGAGCTCCACTACTGAGGAGAATCATAAAGACAATGAAAGTCTCAAACCAGTTGTGTTCGACAATCTTGAAGCAGGTTTTTCTAAGGTTCCACCACTGCTTTCCTCTCCCTTCTTCTATACTTACTTGACAGCACTTGAACCTTCGTACACAGCCTTTAAAACAGTATATGTATTGGGGGGGGAAGAGATTTTGTTGAATTGCGTTAATTTTGGTTATGCGTTCTGCTAATGATACAATGCTACCTTTCCAGAAGCTGTGCTATTTAGTAAAAACCCAACAGATTTTCACCTAGATGACCTTCTTTTTCTCCAAAGCAAAATTTTAACACTGAGACAACTGGAATTTACAATTAAATGAACAAGTGAGAAGAAAGTATTTCTCATTTATCAAGAACTAAGTGCTCAATACAGTGCACGCAAAAAGATAAAAGTCCATGGAACATGAAGCCAAATTACAAAATACAAAGTATGAGTAAAAATATACAAAGTCATACGAATGTATAGTAGGTTTATGTAGTAAGATATGGGCAAGTGTTATTAAATTGTACTTTCTTTTTTTTGGGATACTAAATTCAGACAATGTTGCATTTATTGTATGAAAAAATTCTAAGCCTCCTATCTGAGTCCTGAGCTTTTCAGTACAGCTAACTTCTCTAACTTGTGCCCTTAATTTATTTAAGCTTTTGTGATTTAGCGGCTGACTTGATTTTGTTTCTTCTTTCATTTAGGTAGAAAAATACTAGTAATCAATAATGGTATTTATTTTCTTTGCCAAATCCAAGTCTGTTACAGTACTACTTCTTACTAGTTCAGTGTCTGTTACCATGTCCAGAAATAACCCAACGCCAGCATTGACAGTAGCATTTATTTTCCAAACTCTAAATCTAGCTTTTGCTTACAGATACCAAAAATGGCATTTGTATCCTTACATTACTGTTTTAAACCTATTCCTTTCCCCACCTCTTTTAGATGTACACATCCATAAGGTTCCTCACAAGGAAATGCCTTTGCAAATAAAGTTTATGACCAGATTCTCCTTTTATTGAGTTGTTAAAAGGGCTAATAGAAGGAAGCATGAAAGATGAATGAGTCCACCAGGTGAGACTGTTCTTGCCCCAGGTGGCACACAAAGGCTCTTCCTTCTCTTTTTGCCAGTTTGTAGAAGGTTCATTTAGCATTTTGCACAAAACCATCCAGGTGCAGTTTTTATTTACCACTCAACAGCTGTTTCAGTAATGTATACTTTATAAAGCACTTTGATATCTATGGAGAGTGGTATAAAAATAGTGTGGTGTTTTATTATCTAGGAGACTGTAACTAAACTCAGAAAGTACAGTAGTTTGTACTAAAATAAAACTTTCAGTAATATATTTTTCTTATTTTAAAAATAATGATAAATTTCTGATAAAATGTTTTCTTAATTGTTTATCTGATACATAGTATAATTGTGGTATCAGTATTCATACGGTAAATTATGGTCTAAAAGTACTACCGCTAATAATCATATTTTAAACATTAACAAAAGAGTAATTCAATACATAAATACTAATACTTAGTTTAAATAGATAATTATTCCATATTTCATGAATAAGTATTATTAGTATTTTTGTTCCAAACACCTTCTGTGAAGCAGGCCTCTGGCTCCTGGGCTTCTTCAGGTTCAGCTTCTGGTTGCTCTTCTGCAGGAAGTCCAATATCAACTGTGCTACCTTCAGATGAACTAGACAAATTTAACTTCTGTAAAGTAAAAAAAAAAAAAGAAAGTATCACAAATGCATAGCAAATATTCTTAAAGCAAATATTAGCTGTTTTCAGAATAAGTAAATAATTCTGCCATGTTTTTGAATGTTCTAGTATTCAACATAAGTAAATTGCTGATAAACTTATGTGAAATTTGTGCAATCTTTGGTTTTCCTTCTGCATTGTATGGATTCATTAACTAGAAGGTGTATCAGTGATAGATAAGGCTTTAAACAAAACTGTGCTTTAAACTGAAAAATATGAGTGATGATGCTAAGCCTGCAAAGATTTATGACCACAGCTAGCCATAAGTGGCAGTGACCTCTTGACCTACATAGAAATAATGAAGCTTAAATATATATATGCAGGAATCTGTAGCATCTACTGAAAAGCAGGTAAGAACCTAAATATAACTATGTAAATGAGGTGGGAGCTCAGAGGAATGAGGGGAAAAAAGCCCTGATCAGCAGAGAAGGCTATACTTTAGAGGTCAGCAAGTTCAGACTAAAATTGCTGAAAGTCTAGCTCAGAGTGAAGCAGAAGCTGCATACAATAAGGCTGAGGTAGATTAAAGATAGCCCATAAAACATCAGATTGTGTTTTATAACCTAATCAAATTTTCAATAACATGATGAGCATAAAAAGAGAGGAGTGGAAGGTGGAAACCAAATTTTAAAAAACTGAATGCACTTAAGCTAATCCTATCCTAAAAATTCTCAAAGCATTGCAACAGGCAGCTGGGACCTGGATGCAATCTAGCTGGTTGGTATCACGGCTAAAGATCAGGTAGAAATTGTGAAGGAAACTTATTTAAGGATGTAGAGGTAAATAAAATAATGCAATATAGGTTCATCAATACTAGGTTGCAGCAGGCTTTTTGATATTGACAACAAAAAAATCCCTAATCCCTGACAACAAAACTCTTACTAAAGCAGTAGCCAGTCCATTTTTCAGTAACAATTCCAGGACTCATTGACATTGAGTTGCATGGTGCTTAATAAAATCTGTAATATTTTAAGTAGCCAGTTTTTAGTTAATTTCATCATTCATTCAGTAATATTAGTGTCCCCTACTTTTTGCACACTAAAATTAAGCTCTGTGAAATTAACAGTGTAATTTATAATTTTAAGATGATTAATTTGTTACTTTGCTAAGAGAGAAAAGAGTACTCAGCTGAAAAAAAAAACCCAAACGAAACCAAACCAACCAAACAAACAAAACCCCCACAGAAACCCCCCACTTTTAGAGCTGAACCAATCAGCAAAAAAGGATTCTGGCCAGCACTGTAAAACTCCAGGAATGGTACTGAAAAACTCAGTATGGTCTGAAGCCAGCTGCAACTCGCCTGTTAGTGCCCTCTGGCCTGAGAAGTAGAGAATCCATACAGTCTTTTCTAAGTGGGCTCTCATCAAAAACTCAGCTAATTCAAAGGCTCTGCTGTTCTGGTGTTTATAATTCCTTTTTTACAGTCCCATTATACTAACAGTCAATATAAAATAAGGAGTTGGACTCAAAGCCAAAACAACACTGCTAGATTGATTTTCCACGGAAAACTGTATAACAGAATGCTCTTTCATAAGCTTCTGGAGGAAGTCAGAAATGTCTTAGTACTTTCTCAATGAGATAAAAGGTAAACCTGGTCCTACAGGTAGCAGCACATTTACAGAAAGCTTTCCTAAACTGAATCTATTCCCCATTGGTCAGTCATAAACCAGCTTGTGTCACTCCATTTGACTGCTTGCTCTATGATGGGTTAGCAGACTGGACTAGACTGGCCAGCATTAAGGTAGTTGTGGGAAGAGTAGATGACCAGTCATTTTTTTCCAATGGATCTTTGTTTAAATGTTGTTTTATTTAGAAATTCTTCCTGCTAGGGCAAGTTCATAATGTGCTCAAATACATTCCTATAACCTCTATTGTTGCAGCAGTTCAGAAGCTTGAGTCAAAGCCAAATTATAATACATTCTGGCTAATATTTAACAGGAAAAGAAATATTAATGCTTCAGATATGAATTGGGAAATGGGAACAATGCACTGTCTCTGAAATAGGTTGCCATGGGGAGAGGCTGTTTTGTACAGGTCTCCTTTCTCGGGGGAGGATCCAAAGATTGAACTTAGCTTAACACTGGGTTTTGTTGAGAACACTAGAGGGCTTATACCCACTGAAGTACAGAATTCAGCTAGCCTAAAATTAGGTGTCTGAAGTACTGTTAGCATACAACAGTGGTGGGGGAAGATGAGCTATCTCACAAAGAATCTAGATTGCTACCAGAATAGAAACTAGCTAGTTTAAGGTTGAGGTTCCTCAAGTCAGAAAATTAATTTTGTTAAGTGTCTGGAAAGATAATTTTCTGATTTGACTAAAATGTCAACAAACTAAGTCACTGGGGGTGTAGTTGTTTTGCAAATTATGTTATCAAATCAATTTAAATTATTTTGTTAAAATAGCCACAGACAAAAAGTCATGTAAAGGAACAGTTATAGTCTTAATATGTTTTTTAAAAATACAGTTCTTAAGAAGGCTTTATATCTGTATCCTGCTTTGGCATTCCCTTAGCAACATGAGATATTTCCGTCTGTTGATACTATTTTTCAGTTTTAACAACTAAGTGAATTTAAAGTGTATGGAAGAGTCTATGGTTAGAACTTCTTTTTGTGCGAATCCAGGTCTAGAAGAGCTGACAATTTTAAAACCTAAAAGAATTCCAGTGTCTAAAGGAAATACATACACTATCTCTATGTTTTCTGGTTTATACCTGCTCACAAAAAAATCCCATAGAGGGGGATTTTTTGAGTGGCAGAGAGAGGTATGACACTCCCCATGGGACCCTTGTTACAGGAGGCAAACAAAAGTTTCTGGTGGAATAAGGCTATAGCTAAGGCACTACCCTGCTCTACCAGTTGTTGCAACTACCATATGGCCCATAAACAGTTCTTATGGATTAGTTTGGTCTCCCATTGCCTGGCCTCTTATCTCCTCTTGGAGACTGTAATTTTCAACCCTTTCTCACGCTTTTGTTCATCAACAATTAAAACCTCCTTTATACACTCATTTATGCCCATGTACAAAGAAGTGTCAAAATAACAGATGATCAAGAACTGAATACACTGGCTTATGCTGAAAAAAAGAAAAATACTCAAAAGACCAGAGAGAAATGCACAAAATATCTAAATACCTCTTTGCTTTCTTCCAGGTCTGATTCACTACTAAATTCCTCTGTGTTTAGATTTTCAAAGTCAGATTCACCCACAGCAATGGGCACTGTCACAGTGAGGCTTGGGTTGTTTATGAATGACATGTAATCACTTTCGTCAATTATGTATTTTTCCACACTGCTACCTGTGCCTATGCCACTAGTTGTTCCATTCGCATCTTTAATATAGTCATGGTCTTTGCTTAGTTCCACGGTTGTATGGTTAGAAATACAGCTATTTTTGTTGTTCAAATCTTCAAGTGGTTTGATTTCATCTAAAGCTTTTTGTTTTTTAACAAAAGCTTTTTGGATGAATTCGCGTGCTTTTCTTTTCACATAATCTATGCCCTTCTGCATTCTTGCTACAGCAATTTGGAGATTATTCATTTCATTGTCATCATCTGTCACGGCAAGGTTGTCTGCACTAAATGAGCTCAAGAGCAAGGCCAAAAAGAGGTTCAGTACCTGCAGAAAGATAAAAAAGGGACATTCTAGACTTTATCCCAAGAACACTTATTTTATTAAAATCTGTCATATTAGTGACATCGAAGACTGAAATCCCAATAATTCACCATAAGCAAAGAAAAGGACCCTCAAAACTTTTTCTCTTCTCCATAAAAAAACTAAGCTTCTAAAATTCTGCTTAGGTCCTGGTCACTATTCAAAAATATTCCTACAACTGACTAATATCTGTAAATGTGTTTTTAAATCCTCACAGTATATAAATATTTTGGTGCAAAATCTTATAATCTAAAAATGGAGATAACAGATTTGCTATTCAGCATCATTAAGAAGTTTAATTTATCCCATCACACAGTAGAAATTAGATTATTTAGGTGACTAATCATACGGGATAAATAATTTAAAAATCCACAGCAAATGGTTTATAAAGAGCCCATGAACTAAAATTATTTGAAGCACAAAATATTTATAAAGAGCCAAAAGACAAATTAAGAATGTGACTAAATGGCTACTCTAACATTCTTATGATTTTGATATTGCAGAATACTCTATTCTCAATCCAAAAAAGCTCTTAAGCCTAACTTTAAACATTGCTTGAAACCACCTGCTTAAGTGCTTTGTTGAAGTAGAGCCAAAGCACTTAGTTCATTTTAGGATTGAGCCCTCTCTATTGCCAAATTTTTTTTTGCTAATGCTGTGATTACATACCACTAGGTTTCCAATCACCATGACCATCATGAAGACTGTAAGGCACATGGCTTGGCCAGCAACCTCCATGCAGTCCCACATCGTTTCTATCCATTCTCCACACAGCACTCGAAATACGATCAAAAAAGAGTGAAAAAAATCTTGCATGTGCCAGCGTGGAAGTACACAGTCACTTGCAATTTTGCAGACACATTCCTTGTAGTTTTTCCCAAACAGCTGCATCCCAACCACAGCGAAAATGAAGACAATGATGGCCAGGACCAGAGTCAGATTACCCAAAGCTCCCACAGAGTTACCAATAATTTTTATCAGCATATTTAGAGTTGGCCAAGATTTTGCCAATTTGAAAACTCGTAACTGGAAGAAAAGAAAAATATTGTTAGGACAACCTACAAGAAAGACACAAAGATATTTTAAAGTGAATTTGTGGAAGGATATTACTGCAAAATATGCCCTGGGTATGACTGTTCAGAGGGTATCCTCTTGTCTAAAAGGATGAAGATGGAAGGGTCAGTCAACAAAATTTTGTGAAGTTAGAGCTTGATATCCTCAAAGCATAGCTGTTGCTGAAGGCCAAAGAAGCTACCGGTCATATTAGATGGAATTTAAAATCTAGGGTTCGTCTGTTAAAATCATCTGGGCCACTTTTCTACTGGTATTTGTAGAGCAAATCTATTCTTGTGATGCCAATCAGAGCACAATACATCTGAGTCGATTTGTTTCTGCATAGCAGGATGTTTAAGTGTGTATATACAATACATACGTTGGAAATAGGCCCAGGGCACCCATTGCTATCTATTTGTCTGGATCTCTATCAGTTCCCATTGAAGAATGTAAGACACCACAAGTAATAAGGATTTGTACTAATGAAAGAAACATCAGGATCAGTATCATGGCAGACATCAAGCAAATTTTTAAGGCAAAAAAATATATTATTTTAATGAAGCCCCACTGAAAAATCAGTGCAATTGATGCATATTTACCAATCTGAATGATCGAAGAACGGACAGTCCTTCCACATCTGCAAGACCAAGCTCAACCAAGCTAAGGGTTACAATAAAACCATCAAAAATATTCCAGCCTTCCTGGAAATAATAGTAAGGATCCATTGCAATTATCTTGAGAAACATTTCTGCTGTGAAGATTCCAGTGAAGACCTGCATTCAAAATGCAGTTTGTTATTTCTTTGTGAAATATATATTACAGATTTAGCTGTTGTCTAGGTTTTTAATTGAAGCTACATATCTGCAATGTCTTATACAAAACTGACTCTTAAAAATAGTTCAGTGAACTGTAGTGATTTATTATGCTCACCTTCCCTTAACAAGTGCCATACAAACCAAGTAATTTTTTCAATTAATTAAATTTTATACTAAACAAATTACATAAACTTCTGTTTTATAACATTTATAATCCAATTTCAACTCTATCAGGATATGGACTTTCTCATGTACTGTACAAACAATATCCCAAATTTGATTTTCACAACATAAAACAGAATGCTTTCCAAGAAATTACATGGTATAACATCTTTCTTGGTATACTAGTTACGTTATACAGCAGCATGAATGAGGCCAAATCTAAGACTCCAGAGGGCAGCTTCTTTGCTGGTATAACCTGCCATAATCCCATTCAGTTCAACAGAGATACGGTTATTTATACCAGATGAGGATCAACTGAGATACAACAATTTGCTGAAGCTAAGGAACTTCCACCTGGGTGTTGCCAGTAAGTTCAGTGAAGGTGATGATTGGCTCAATCACTTTAATGTCAGGAATGAAAGAGCATTTAAGAATGCATTTTAAACATGATATTGCTGGTAATGGTTTCTCATCATGGGATGCTATGCTGAATGAAGTAGGAATCATATTTAGGAGCCACCAAGGTAGTGACCCTGAGTAGCTTTAAGAGAAGCCTTAGAAGAATTTCCTGTAGGATAGGAATGTACTAAAGCCACCATTAAAGGCTGCCTGAGCCCTGCTCTGAAATGCTTTCTTTTTTTTGTTTTGATAACCCATTTTCAAGCAAGGTGAACAGAAAATGGGACAGCTAAAAAGAATAATCTAACTGGGATAATCAGGAGATGGAGAAGAGGAGTCCGACTTGCTCTGCCTAGGAACACCAATGCTCAAGATAGGTTTTATTACAGTCTTTAAATACGTTCCAGATATAAACACCAGAGAGGGAAAGGTTACTATTTTTTTAAGCTACAGGATTGGAAACACTGAGGAAGAGGGAGAAATGAATAAATACAGTTAGAAATGCTGGCTTAGGTTCCTAACAATCAGGACGGTGAGGTTCTCAAGGAGCTTTAAAGTGGAACTACTAGAGCAGGCGAACCCTGAGAGCCTCTATATTGCAGAAGGGGTTTATGTCAG